CCCCAAAACCCCAAAACCCCAAAACCCCAAAACCCCAAAACCCCAAAACCCCAAAACCCCTTTCTGTGAGGGATAAGTTGAAATAAAACTTTATTGATATAATTTCATATATTTCCTAATGGAGAAAATAGAAACTAATCTCGAAGAAGAAACAAAAGAGAAGGACCCAGCTGCTGATAGTAACAGCATCAGAGAGTCCAACCAGAATGAATCAGATACCAATAAACCAAGAGATCCAGAAGTGGACACAGACGAAGGAGATATGGTAAAAGATGAATTTGTGGTCAGCCTCGGCTATTACAAAGGTGATTATGAGAAAAGTCTGGAGTATCGAGAAAATATCTTAGTCAGAGATGTAGACAATAAGCTCATGCCTGCCTGCAAAACTTCAAATTATAAGTTTGGGAACTATGGAGCAGGAGTGTATCTGTACTTTGAGTATCTTAAATTCCTCTCAATAGCTTTTGCCATCATGAGCATTATAATGCTGCCATCTTTGATTTGTAACTTAATCGGGGACTATTACAACAGTGAAACTGGGACGTTATTTGATTTTACAACTCTGGGAAATCAGAAAGGATACGTTAGTGGCACCTCAGATTCTGATTCACTAAAAGTTGATGATGACAATGAAGCTTCTAGAGCTTTAACTATCACTAGTGATGTTATAAACACAGTCGCATTGTATATCTTTCTGATGGTATTCAACGCAGTATCACGACACAAAATGATAGACCTAATGAAGCGTAAGCAGACACCATCGGACTACTCTATCTACGTCACTGGATTCCCCGATGACTCATGCTCAGAAGAGGACATTCGTGAGTACTTTTCTAAGTATGGAGAAGTCCTTGAGATAGTTTTCGCAAGACGCTTTGGGAAAATGATGAAAGGATACATGGCACAGGATAAAATCAATAAGAACATTAAGAAGAGAGAAATCCAGGTCAAGGTCGAGGCTGAGAAGGATGAAAGCCTCAGCGTCTTAGAAGCCGTTAAGAATGATAAGAAGTTACAAAAACTTGTGAAGAAAGATATTAAAATGGAACAAGAGCTTAGAGAGAAGTATCCAAAGATAAAGTGCATCGAGGACGTACCCTCTATTGGAGCCTTTGTAGTATTTAATAAGTCTGAAGATGCTATTACCTGCCTCAAGGCACACAGACTTAATTATACTAAGCTGAGGCAGGATGAAAAGGAAAAGATTAAAGGGAAATATAAAGCTAAGGTGATCCAAGCTGACGAACCCAGCAACATTTTATGGGAGAATTTAGAAGTCTCATATCTCGAAAGTTTTCTCAGGTCCTTAGTGGTCATCCTGATTGTTATTGTCCTTCTCGTAGGAACCCTATGAGCTGTTTATGGACTGAGAGTGTACCAAGAAAAGATTCCAGTAGTAACAGCTTGAGAGCAATATGATAATTTAACACTTGGGACTGTAGATCATAATAACAAAGATGCTCTCGACTGTGTATGCCAGATGAAGGGATTGGTTACCATAATATTCACAAGTTCAATCAGAAAAGATTGTCAGGAGTATATGGAAAATGAGATCTTTAGATATTTGGTCAATATTGCTGTTGCTTTGTTAGTTAGTGTGATCAACATACTTATCAAGATATGTTTCAATGTACTATCAAAGTTTGAGAGATACAAAGCTGTAACTCATTTAAATGGAGCTATCATGAGGAAGACCTTCATTTCAACCTTCATTAATATGGGCCTGCTATACCTTTTGATTAATGCTAATTTTAGAAGTAGTGGATTTGTTAGAACTATCGCCAGTGGGCTCCCTGGAGGAAAGAAGTATTTCTTCAATGGGGATTACGACGATTTGAACAGAGACTGGTATAGTAAAGTTGCTATTAGTATCATTGTTCTTTCTCTTACAAACTTAGTCTCAGTTGTCATTGGAGCTGCCATCAATGAAACCATTAATTGGATTAAACGGAAATATTTTGCTAAAAGACAAACTCTACAACATGACATGAATGCTTGTATGGATGGTAACGTTTTTACTATTTCTACAAAGTACTCTACAACTCTTGCTTTGATCTTTGTCACGATCATCTACTTCGGACCTGTGCCTCTTTTGGTAGTGATCTGCTGAATGTATCTCACCACTAATTATTGGCTTGACAAGTTCATATTTGTAAGATTTTGTAAAATTCCTCCTTACACTGGGCCTTCAATGCACATCTCTGTTCTTCGGTACTTACCAATATCCTTAATGTTGCACTGTATCTTCTCAATGTGGGCTTATGGCTCACCTGAGGTATACCCAGATGGGTTCTATGCTGATGGGACCAACTCTGATGGCTATACTATCTACAGGCCCAACGATAGGAACTTTGGAGAGAGATTAACAAACAAGAATTCTCTTATTTTCTTCATCTTGTTCATCCTCTTCGTTATCGCTTATATTTTTGAGAATATTATTCATCGTATCATCATGAGAGTTCTTAAGCCCTCAAACGTGGTTGATGTAGCCCAGAAAACCTTTAAAGAAGCTGAGCCTATAATGAAAGAATGGACGGTTACTTCATACCAGCCTCATATGAATTTGAAGTATGATAAGATTTTAAAGGCAATGCTCGATGTGGCAGAAGTTAATCCTGATATTCATGAATCTGAGGAAGAGAAGTTAGATCATAATTCTAAATCTGACTCGCAGCAAAATCTTGTTCAAGAGAATGCCTGGCCTGAAAATGGTCAGCCCTAGATTTCAGAGCGGTCTGGGACTAGGACAGTTATCCATGCTGGTAACTGGTCTGGATGAGAATACATATGCATTAAATATTTGCAATTAAAATCTAGAAAATTCTCAAATTTTGGACCCTCTGTCGGGGTTTTGGGGTTTTGGGGTTTTGGGGTTTTGGGGTTTTGGGGTTTTGGGGTTTTGGGG